TTCACATTTGGTTTGTTATGTAAGTAAACATATATGATTTTGATTTAACGGTTGAATATCGAATAAAATTAATTATAATAAAAACATTACGAATATAACTAAGGTATATTCCGGATATGTACAATAATTAAAAACTGTTTATAATTTGTAAAGATCCTGCACCACGCCTTATGCGATCGAAAAATACATGCTAACATCTACTCAAGAGAGTCTATACTTGTCGCGTAAATCGTTAGTACTGGGTTTGCTACACAAAGGATGTCATTTAGTAAACAAACATACCATTTTAAAAAACGCTTTTATGTTCATACGGTGTGTTCGCTACCCTCATCTTGAATATGTTGTTAAGTGTACCACGCAATGGAGGGCAAGTGAGGATGATTGTACAATAATTGGAAACCATAAGTTACATGGACATCTATACTAATATTATAAACTTAATAATTGTTTGTTTGTATGTAGGTAATTTTCGGAAATACTTATCAGCTCTGCGATTATGTAAAAATGCAGACCCTAATTTCAATTCACTCATGTGTCCGAATTGGCGTCATTTAGTGTAGAAATTCTATTAAAATGGAATCAATAGAATTTCTACACTAACAGCCAGTTGCACAAACGTCCATTAAAAACGTCATCAGTTTAAAGCATACGAATTTGACTTTCATTAGCGCTTAAAGGCGTCATTAAAACCTAATGGTAGTTTGCGCAACTACCCATAAAGTTTCAAGACATGAGTGAATTCGAATTTGAGTTTGGATCTTTACATAATCGCAGAGCTGATCAGTATTTCCGAAAATTACCTACATACAAACAAACAATTATTAAGTTTATAATATTAGTATGGAAAAACAAAACAAAATTAGATTGAATATACGTGTCTCAGATATTCTATGTCATTTCGAAACTCACTTCACTTATGCCACGAAACGTTATTACCAATAGGGATGACGACTGGGTAAAAAAAAATGCAATTCTATTTAGTCCGTCAGTCAGATATTAGAAAAATATTAGGTACGTATTTTTTTTTACTTCAATTTAACAAGAAATTTATTTGTTTTTATATTCCATATTAATTTATTTAGGAGGTACACACTGACTACTTTATTGTATTTTTTTTCCTGTTGTGGGCCTGCTGGTAGAAATTTCAATTTGAAATAAGCAGTGCTCTTGTACTAATGTCTATTACATTTGTTCATATGAAATTATATGTGTTTACAAAATAAATAAATAAGAAATAGCTTAGATAACGAGCATTAAAGTTGCGGAGTGGGGGCTCGCTACGCCACAGTTGAGTAGAAAACGTACCATAACGTGACGTCATGCGAAATAACAACTCCATGTAACGCCGTAATTTTATGAATACGAAAAAAATGAAAAAATACTTGTTTCACTTTTTTTAACACTCTACCTGACGGACAAACAAACAAAAATTAGTCATCATCCCTATTCAAGGTTGAGCGGTTGCCGCTTTTTGTAGTGAATACGGACACCTGAGTGAATTCTAATTCGGGTTTGGAATTTTACTGATCATGATAATTCTTTCACCTACAGGAAGCTAGATAATACGCGGGTGACATAGGGGTCATAATTTACGTCAGCGAAGTCGCGGTTAAACAGCTAGTAAAAAATAACCTAGTTAAGTAAGATATTAATGTTATACAAAGTTGAAAA